GCGGGGCTTAGGCTGGGAAACGCTGGAAGCCACAGCAGCGGACAGGTTTGACAGGCACAGGACGTGAACCCCTTTCCTGCTCATCACTGCTCTGCGGCCTGAGGCTCCATCTTCCCCTCTGTAAAGTGGGCTTATAGCGCATGGCTCACAGGACTCGGTGAGCTGATGCAGTGAGGAGCTCAGCACAGCATGCAGCTATCTCCACAGCCGTCTCCAACCCTGGTACCCCACCCCTAGAGTGGAAGGGGAGGAGAGCAGAAGGCAGGGAGAAGTCTCGGAGGACCATCTGAGTTTCCTTCTGAAAGGGTGCCAAATGGGCTCCGATTTCCACCCTTAACCCAGGCGGACAAATCTCCCCCTTTCCTGTTAGCAGAAACAGCCCACAGGAATGCAAACATCCTCAAGGTCACCAACAACCACAGGGCGGCTGCCACCAATAAACAGACACCTTTATGAACTTGTACTACTACTGTACACACCCATAGTCCAGCCACAGGCTACAAGGTCTGTGGCAGCAGAGAGGCCAGGGAGACAGGCCAGCTGGCCCTCAGCTCCCAGCCCACCACCTCCCAGGCGCCTTCGACTCCAGTGTCCAAAGCAATTCCTATCACCCTTCAGCTCCTCTCCACACCATTCTTTCCCCTTCCTCAAGACCACTCTTAGCATGGGACTTCCTTCCCTCCTCTATTAAAATCAGCTCCTACTTGTGGGCTTTCAGATCTCCTTGAGTCCTCACAGCAGCCCCTAGGTGGGGAGGATGTGGCATCTAGGAAACTGGCCAGAGAGGTTTATTAACTTGCCCAAGACCACCCAGCAGCAGGTGACAGCTTGAAACCCTCTGCCACTCAGGTCCCTTGAGCCTCCACTTCTCCTTTCTTCTCCACAAGCCCTCACCTGTAGTGAGGTATAAGCACATCTCTGAGTACAGATGTTTTCAGTGTAGTGAGTGGGTGTGTGTGGAGGCAAGTGCCAATGTGGGTTTCCATCTTTTTCATGCAGTATGGCTCCCAGTATCCCCTAAGCTTCCCTGAGGATAAGAAACACCTGGAGTGCTTGTTGAAAACAGGATTCCTGGGCCCCCCTCAGTACAGATCTACTAAGTCAGATTTTCCTAGGAGAGATTTCCCCACGTGATTCTTATCATCAGAACAGTTTGCTAAATCAATTATCAGACAAGTTTGGAAAATGATCCTTGAAATACTAATGTGAGCCAGGCTTGGTGGCTCAGCCTGTAATCCCAGCACTTTGGGAGGCCGAGGCAAGTGGATTGCCTGAGCCTGGGGGTTCGAGACCAGTCAGAGCAACTTGGCAAGACCTTGTCTCTACAATAAATCAAAAATTAGCCGGGTATGGTAGTGCACACCCGTAGTTCCGGCTACTTAGAAGGCTGAGGCAGAAGGATCGCTGGAGCCCAGCAGGTTGACACTGGGGTGGCCATGAGCGTGCCACTGCACTCCTGCCTGGGCGACAGAGTGAGACGCCAACTAAAAAAAAAATTACTAATGTATGGCATGTTTCCTAAGATCTATCATAAACACTACATATATTACCTCATTTAGTCTTCACAATGGCCTTCTAAGTACTATTATCTCCATTGTACATAGGAGGAAACTGAGGCACAAAGAAATTATTAAAAACACATACCCACTGAATTAGAATCTTCAGGGAAGGATTCCTGGTATTGCTATTTTATTTTTTAATTTAATTTTATTTATTTTTGAGCCAGAGTCTCAGTCACCCAGACTGGAGTGCAGTGGCATGTTCACGGCCACCACAGCCTCAACCTGCTGGGTTCTGGCGATCCTTCCACCTCAGCCTATCCTTCCACCTCAGCCTTCCAAGTAGCTGGAACTACAGGAGCACACCACCATGCCCAGCTAATTTTCTGACTTATTGTAGATACGAGGTCTTGCCAAGTTGCCCAGGCTGGGGCACTGATTTTATTTTTCGAGTCGGAGTCTCACTCTGTCGTCCAGACTGGAGTGCAGTGGCCACTCCCGGCCACCGCAGCCTCGCCGGCCGGGCTCCGACAATCCTTCCGCCTCAGCCTTCCGAGTAGCCGGAATTACAGGCACACGCTACCACGCCCGGCTGGTTTTTTGATTTATTGTAGAGATGAGGTCTCGCTGCCCAGGCGGGTCTCGAACCCGCAGGCTCAGACAATCCACTCACCTCAGCCTCCTAAAGGCGCGGGATTACAGGCTGAGCCACTGAGCCCGGCTGGCACTGATATTTTAAAACAAGTCCACTCCTTGTTTATTCTGTGGATCAAAAAGATTTGGAAAACACGGGGCTACGTGGCTGGCCTGGCCACCAGGGGCTGGGAGCCAGCACCAAGTTCTGGATAGCAAAGACAGTTCATTCTATTTCACTTTGGTGGTGATGTAACTCATTCCCCCCTTCCCCACCCCCACAGTGACAAGACCACCACCCCCACCTGATCCCAAGGTTGAGGTAGAGCCAGTCGAGGAGGAAGAAAAGCCACCACCTACCCCTCCTCCTCCTAAGAAATCTATGGCTCGGGAATTGACAGTTGGAATCAATGGGTAAGTCTACTCTGGCCTGGTTCCTGAGGCCTTAGGGTCCAGCCCCTCTGGTTACTATCACCCTGGAGAAAATGGGGAATAAAGTAGACAGGACCCCGCACTCTGAGCTCCTATCCTGGTACGGAAGACAGCAATAACCAAATAAAAAAACAAAGATAGTTCAGTGGTGCATGTTGTGAAGAGAACAGCACTCAGTGGAATAGTAAGACTGGAGAGGACAGCATTAGCCAGGGTGGTCAGGGAAGGCCTCTGGGAGAAGGTGACACTGGAGTGAGACCTGAGTGAAGAGAGGTAGCCAGCTAGGCGCCTTGCTGGGGAGACTTCCAGGCAGAGGGGCAAGCAATGGCTCTGGGGTGGAGAAGGCAAGCTCAGCGTGTTCAAGGACAACCAGAAAGTCAGTGTGGTTGGTGGGGAGGGTGAAGGGGGGGAAGGAAAAGCTAGGCAGGGGTCTGGCCACCGTGGTAAGGAGTTGGGATCTTGTCTTACTGATAGAGCATGGTGGAGGTTTTCTTTCTTTTTCTTTTTTTTGAGGCCACTCCCGGCCACCGCAGCCTCGACCTGCTGGGCTCTGGCGATCTTTCCGCCTCAGCCTTCCAAGTAGCTGGAACTACAGGCGCATGCTACCATGCCCGGCTGAGTTTTTTATTTATTGTAGAGATGAGGTCTCGCCAAGTCGCCCAGGTGGGTCTCAAACCCGCGGGCTCAGGCAATCCACTCACCTCAGCCTCCCAAAGTGCGGAATTACAGGCTGAGCCACCGGGCCCGGCTATGGTGGAGGTTTTCATACCAAAAGTCATAATATGACTTGAAGTTTTAAGACCCACCCAGCTACAAGGTTAAGAATAAGGGTAGGGGACGGATGGAGAGAAAACAAAAAGCAGCTAAGAGGTGGACAAGGTTATCTGGGCAAGAGATGACAGCAGCCTGTCGAGGTGGGAGCCTTCTGCCCCCAGAACGAGGATTTCCACCCAGTTCTCTTGATATGCCTCCTCTCCATTACCTGTTCTCTTTTATCCCTTCCTTTGCCTGTCCCTGGCCAGATTTGGACGCATTGGTCGCCTGGTGTTGCGCGCCTGCATGGAGAAGGGCGTTAAGGTGGTGGCAGTGAATGACCCGTTCATTGACCCAGAATACATGGTGAGTAGCAGGCAGAGACAGAACAGGAAGGGTGGGGCTGAGGGGCGGGAGTTCAGGGGAGCTCTGTGGAAGACTCTCAGCGGCAATGTGGAAGCCACCAAGGTGGGGACTCTCTAGGGATGCTTGCTCTGCCACCCCAAGACTAGGAGCCATTCTGTCTCCTGCAGGTGTACATGTTTAAGTATGACTCCACCCATGGCCGATACAAGGGGAGTGTGGAATACAAGAATGGACAGCTGGTTGTGGACAACCATGAGATCACTGTCTACCAGTGGTAAGGGCAGCGTCTGTCTCGCGCAGCTTGTGACACATTAAGGCAAGGCATGTGAAGATGGCTCAAATGGGAACGCCCCCCAAATTGTGTGCATGCTTCTGGGGACTAGTTTGAAAAGAGGGGTCTCAGGGAAGTCCTTCACTCCTAAAATCGTTAAGCACTAATCTAGACAGATGCCTGCTATACTCAAGAATACTTTAACGCACGTGTGCATCTGTTTTCTCACAGGCATATCAACTCAGCATGCCTACAATTCAACTCCTGATTCCCCTTCAACCCCTACACCTGCACGTCTCTCTTCCTGGAAAATGGCTTAGCTCTCTAGCCAACTCCTTCTGGTCAGGTCCTACACAGCAGTCAGAGGCCTTTTTAAAACATCCACCAGGCCAGGTTACTCCTCTACTTAAATCCGCCAATGGCTTCACCCCACAAATAAAACCCCAGATCCTAATGGGGCCCCCCAAGCACTATGCACCCACCCTGCAGCCTTTCCATGTCACCTCAGTCACACCACCAGCCATCTACCTCTTGGGAACCCTGAGTCAGCACCTCTCCCAGACAATGCTGACTTCTTAGAACCCATCTCACAGAGTTCATGCTGATATTAATGCAGACCTTTCATCTGAAGATATGTCCAGATTCTGTAAGTCAAAAGCAGTAACGTTACCAGATGTTTAACATACTGCAAATGCAAACATTTTCAAGATCCAAAAAAAAAAAAGAAAAATTTATTAGTTGTGAAACATTAAACCTACCATATCTTTCTAATGTAAACTATTAGTCACTGCTGGCCCCAAGTAGTCCACAACCTTGCCAAGTAGAAAACAGCAATGTTTAATATGTCTCAAAAACAAATGCTTGTCAAAATACCAAGTAAAAACATAAATTTATAAAACAGGAAACCAAACACTTCTCTCTTTTTTTTTTTTTTTTTGAGTTGGAGTCTCACTCTGTC